CCTTCAAACCTAAGAGAATATCTTCTCGTTTTCCGAGAAAAGTAACAATATATGTTAAGAAATTATTATTGATTTTATTTTTGGATAGGTTATTCATGTCGAAATGTAAAATAAAATTTGATTGCGTATATCATTTGTATAATTTTTGCTGTTTCACTCAATCCTTTTTTATCGATACTTTAGAAATAAGTATTTTTGGTTCAGTTTTTTATTTTTGTTTTTTTGTCAAATTTTGTTTTGTTTCTTAGGAGTTCCGACTGCAACGCAATAAAAATTATGTTCCATCTGAATTGTTAAGTACCTAGAAAAAAATTAATTGAACAAAGTTGAGAAAGCCAGGTATTTTTCAACTTATTTTCTAACATTGAAAAATATTTTATTTTCGTTTTCCTTTCTTACAGCATTCAGCCGCATTCTCTCCTTATGTCCACTTCGCTCACTCAGGTTAGCAATTTTCCTCCTTAATTTTTAGAATGATGTAAAATCAGTAAAAAACCTTTTGATGTTATGTTATACACTTCCGGAAATTTTCCTTCGTTATAGAACACGACGGTCCGCAGAGCTACGAAGGGGATACCAGAGTCACGATGGACACGAAGATTAAAACTGCAATGCACTTGGTTGACTCTGTTTCATAAATTTCTCGAAGTACGTTAATGTTGCAAGCTCAGTACAGTGCGGTAAGAGTGTAATAACCAGGCGCATTGATAACTGTACACTTCGGGTCTGTTGCTGTAGGTCACTTGCTGGACACGACTCCACTCAGGAAGAGAAGGACAACAGTTGCCAGTTGCCTGCGGTGCTGTTGCTCTTGGGCGAAGAAGTCCCCGACCCTTCCAGAATAAGCAGTACCGTTTTCGTTGATGTCGATAAAAATTGTCGTTTGTACCATTGTATCAATTGCCAGAAGCGTCCACCGTGAATAAGCCGATTCAATAGTGAAGAACGAAACTGAAAAAACTTAGTGTTTTAATACTTATGTGCATTAATTATTACATTATTCGATTACATATGTTCTGTTAAGATCTTCATATATTTTAGAGGACTTGTACGCTGGTTTCACATTTGAAAAATGACTAGGGTGTAAACAACAAACTTGAGCTTTTTCAGAGGCAGACCTTTCATTGCTAATTCTTATTTAATTTAATATTTTTTATTTATTTTCCCGGTCGCAAAAACTAATCAAAAAGTTTCGAAACATCGACGTTATACGGCAAATTACTTTAACTTTCGTAAATTATTTAAATAAGGTGTAGGTAGCTGTTTGGAATCGTTTTAAAATTGTACAGAAAAAACCGAAACAGAAATTCTCGTCATCAAAAAACCGAAGCCTAGACAGTAATATTTTATTAACCAAAAACAGGAAACATTGTTCGAAATGTTTTGATCCTTTGATTTGGATATGATGCAGGCTATAGACTCTCACTTGCGCTTGACTAACAAATTTTTTAATAAACTGTATAAAATATACATAAAGAATTTATTGTGAATAAAAAAACGAAATGTACAATTGCAAAGAATTTTCAGAAAAAACATTATATTATCACGTTAAATTTTAGAGTAGTTTCATAGTATAATAATTATTTAAAAAGAAGTTGAAGTCTAGGAGATGCACATGAAAAAACTGAAAAAATATTGCTCACAGCTCGTAACTCTTTTCAGGAATTGTTATGCATATGGATTTCTCATTATGGATAGATATGCTCAATCCACAATGCATTTTCATGATTACCTCGATTGCTCACCAAGAGGTCTACAAGAAGTCAACTTTCCAGTTTGTTCTTTTATATATATTTGTAATACTGAGGAAATAACGGTTTTGTCTTATTTCATCAAGAGAGAACGCGACGAGGACATGGGTCGAATCCTTTTCATAAATTTCTTAAAGGACAAAAGACCAAAACAGATGCTACGTCAGAAGACCTCTTCTTCCAGTCTGGTAGCGAAGGAGTCGCCAAACAAACTCAGTGCCAATACGAAAGAGCGCAAACTCCAAACTCAAGGTGCCAGGAGTATCTGGTGGGAACTGTTGAAAGAGCAAGAATGCAATAAATATAATTTTCCCCCCATTGCGTTTGTTCTCTTAATTTTTTTTTATTTGAATTCGTTTCGAAACCCACGCGTACGGAATTTAGTGTAAGAAGCGTTATTTTGAACACATTTTCAATATCGCAGGAATCGTCTAAAGATCGGATGCGAATTATAATTTCCTATATACTCTGACTTGAAAATAAGAACAGCTTATGATATATATTTGATTAATACTCCTTTTAATATACTCTGATATAATCGTTCACCATCCAGTTGATTTTTTGACCACCCTTGAGGCGGCTGGTTATGCAGCTGTTAATGGCTCAAAGTATCAGTTCACTACGTGTAAGCCGGAGGTTTAAAAATAATTGCACGAGTGATTTTAATGTTCTAATATGCCACAAAAAACTTTAATAAATGATGAAATCATATTGGAAGCAGATTGGAAATGTATACGTGTGAATGAAAAGACGATAAAACGGATGTGAAAGACCATAAAAAACTTGAATTTGAAACAGCCCATTTGTCCATTGCCGCTGTTTAATGAAACTAGCATTGACTAAATTTTAATCGCATGAATTACGCATGAGATATATTTTCTTAAAAAAAGATGTACAAAGAAAAATAAAATGTATTTTTCTTGTATTCTAGCTATATAAATAAATTGCTAACGTGGCGAACATTCTCCAATTGCAGAATGAACAATTCTGAGTGGAGTGAAAGCAGCTCAAGCCAAGTTATCCAACGTCTGGTGAATTGAATGAATTGAATTGACTGAAGGCAGTTAATGCCTTATTTTAGTGTGAGACTCGGGCTATTAGGCCCGCTTTCCGTCTGACCACTCAAATTTCGCTAAGCTTCTTTCACCAACTACCAAGAGAAGAGTATTCTTGGGCGAGAAACTGGCGATTTTGAATTTAGCTCAGAGACGTCAATTTAGGCTTGAGGATCTTTTACATGTAAGTAAATCTTACAAACATGGACAGCCGGCTTTACTTCCCCTCCCGAAGGAAGCGTACGAAGGATTTGTTCGCTCTCCAAAAATCCACGGCTTCGATCATGTTTGAACCCGCCAACAACCAGTCCGGTACGCTAACCGTTTCACCATCGCCGCCTGCATAAATATGCTTCACTTTTCCGTGTTAATTACAACCCACGCCCACCAATTTGTTTGCGTCAGTGGGTGGAGAAAAAAACGGCCACTCAACCGTGAACCGCGTTAAGCGATATCCTTGTAATTGTGTCTCTCTGAGGAAATGATACCAAAATAGAAGGATACACCAAAAAACGCGTGAAAAGTTGATTAAGCTTTCTGGAAACGCGAGTTGTAAAATAACAGCAAATTTCCGTAAAAGGATCATGTCATATTTCCTTAGTGTACCAAAATTACATTCAACTAATGAACGCCATTAAATCAGCTTAGGCACAGCGTGACTCATTGAGGTTAGTGCTTTCAGCATACAATACGATCTTATTTACAGCTGAGAATGTCCTGAACATTTGTACTTATACACTTTCCTGAATTGAACATACAAATATCTCCAATGATCATAGCCTCTCCAAGTGAGCGAGGATTTATTTTTAAATGTAGTCCAAGAATGTAAGAACTAACATTCTGGAGAGTAATCAATTAAGTATGATACGAGAAATATCACAAAAGCTCCACAACAGGACGAAACTCACACAATACCGAAACTCTTGTACTCCAAAAGCCATCTGTTAATTAAGAAGATATGATAGTTACTAACTTTCCGGAGCAACTATCAGCGATAAGGGAGTGTACAACCCACCCAAAATCCAGCTAGGGATCGGGAATAAAATCACATATTTTATTGGACACACTTTTTAAAACAGTTAAGAAATAAATTGTTGAACTTTCACTGAAAATCTCTTTGAAAATACTGGTGATATACATATAAACATCATATTTCTTTGAGAATTATTTGGTATCGACATTGTCTTTATACCAAAACAATGATGCCACAATCAAATTCAAACATCTTAATATTGCGAAATGAGAAGATATGGGAACTGACGAGAGTTCTTGTAAACAGAACAACAACTTGGAATAACGGAACCATGACATCTCCTTGTGTAATATTACGTGCGTGCATCGATCGGTTTTCGAACATTAATAACAAAAGGTCCCATGTGATAAAAAAACATCTAAGGATATGCTGGCCTAGCGAGACACAGAAGAAGAAGCGTGCCCTTCGAAACTATAGAACTCTCCTCTCCACCCGACACCAGTCAAACGAGTCCAAGTA